GAAGCAGTTCAAAGATTCAGTCTCTCTAAAGCCTTCCTTTCCATGAGCCTGCTCTGCTCTGATTGGTCAGATGGCCTAGTCTGTTGTGATTGGTCTACGGCGTACAGCGCATGTCCAAAACGATACGCCTATTTCAATAGTTCTGTATTTTGAACACTCTATAGAAAATATAAACATCTACTATTTATCATAATTACAGGTTGTAATTCAGTGGAGCAGCTGGTCCAAATAAACAGAATACTAATCCATCTTTCAACAGCAAGCGTTTTGTGAATCCTGCGTTGAACTCCCCGAGATTTTTTTTATTTTTTTTTTTATTTTTTTGTGTTTGTGATAAACAACATTCAACAATTAATGTAACATTGGATGACATTATGAATATAAAAATTATATAGGAAGACAAAGAAGAAAAAAAAAAATAAGAGAGAATTGCGGAAAGAGACTGAATGGCAGCCATAACCTTGTTGATGTCACAATCAGGAGATGTAACATTAGTCTTTCCTCTTTTTGGCGCTGGGCTTTTAGCTGGGGTGCACGGTAGTGGAGATGCCAGAGATTTCGCTGGATCGACAGTGTCAGCTGAGTCACTGGTTAAATCTGTCAGCAGCATTGCATCATCAGGATACGGGGCGAATAGTTGGGATGGCAAGATATATTCACTTTTCTCCATGCTCGCCTCGGAGTGATGTTTCGCTTTGCGTTTGCCCATATGGCCGAGTTTTCAGACAAAGTTAATATTAGTCCTTATTGCATGCAAATCTCGATGATGTCTGAGGATTAAGAGCGCAGCATGTCTGCTCGGAACAGCGCCATCTTGGCCACACTGGACAACCCACCTGACTCCCCGAGATTAGAGAAGCAGTTGTCAGTAGAATTACGTGTTTGTGGGCGGGGTCAAGTTGTTCGCGGCGCTGCCAGAAAGTCGCTGTTAAATACAGCATATCTAAATATTCAGTTCCTGCGAAAGAAACTGAAATTGGCAGAAATCCTAAGGTCACATTTAAGTGTAGCATAGGTATGGGCTGGTATGAGATTCTGACGGTATGATAACCTTAGAAAAAAATATCACGATTTCACGGTATCACAGTATTGTGATTACAGCTCTAAAATATGTTATTTTTAAATGTCTGGGTAAAAAAACAACGTTTGTTCCACTGAACACAATACATTTTATTTTTAAGAAACATAGAACATTTTGGAACAGTAAACATGTCAGGCTAAATAATTTAAATTTTTTTTTTTAATTCTTCTTAATTAAATTAAGTGCAGTCACTTAAGGGAGCCTAAACCTGCAGCTCAACAATAATCAGAACATAAATAAATTATTTTCTGTAAAAAAAAAAAAACCTTCTAAATGGGGGAAAACAATGCAGTCACTTAAGTGAGCCTAAACCTGCAGCTCAATAATCAAAAACATAAATCAAAACATAATTTCTGTAAAAAAAAATAAAAATAAAAATAAATGCAGTCATTAAACCTGCAGCTCAACAAGGTTTTTGGAGACATGCCCTCTGTCTTGATCGGGGGTGAAAGAGGGAGAAATGAAGATAGCACAGATATATAGTTTATGTATGACCTGGAAGTATTTATTTAGCGATCGGTGCTAAAACGTCATCTGTATGGAACATCATTGTGTACGGAACGTGGTTAGTCTACGTTACCCGAAAAAATCCCATACGGCAGAGCAGACTTCATCTTTTTCGACGGGGGAAAAAGTTCCAGGGATTCACCTCCTACGGCCATCCCACACACAGGTGACTCTCACTGACTGCACGCACCAACAGGAGGGGGAGGGGTCGTGTGACTCGTTACGCTCTTCGCTGCACACAACTGAGGGAGTCCTGCACTTTCCGTCTTTGATGACACGTAAAAAAACTGTGCATACCGCAGGAACGGTATAACGGAAAATTTTAGTGGTTTTGAAACCGTGACTTTTCCAAACCGCGGTATACCTTGAAACCGGTTATCATCCCATGCCTAGTGTAGCATATGGAGAGAGTCATCCGGTCATCTGTTTCACCTTCAGTTAATATTTGCAGGCGACGCCAATGGGCATGAGGAAATAATAGGCTTTGTCCCACAAACAAATTAATCCGAAGTACCCTGAATCGGCACAATGACGCTCACTTATCAGCAAGGTAACGTTAGATAAAGATAATTAGTGTGCAGAGCCCCAAGGCAGTCTGTGATCTTGACTGAGCTGTTTGGGGCAAACCTGAAAGCCGGACCTGAAATTGCGTCTCCACAGTCATAAGAGAAAGTCCAGCTCCCTTCACACGGAGAGGTCTGATCGGGGCAGGGCAATTGACACTCAATTCCAGCCAGTTCTTCTCTGGTAATTAACGCACAACCCTAATACCATCTGATACAAATGAAGCACGACTCCTACCTCCTCATAATTCTCTCTCACTCAAAAGTAATTTGAGGGTTTGATGTGCCGAATGTCCTCCTCTCCCACGAGAGCTGGCTTCATTACAACTGAATTGTTTCAGCATCTCTGAGCCTCTTCTGTGCAACTCTTTTATGTTTTCCTGTAACAGACGTATGAATTCGAAATGACTTCAAATAAGCAGCCGGAGAACATCATAGCAGGACGGCCTCAGAGGGGTTCAAACACCTTCAGAATGCCGCTGAAGGAAGACGAAAGGAGAGGAGAGTGGGGCTGAAAATATAAGGGGAAATGACAAGGAAGAAAGGGGGTACTTGGGTAATTGGTGGGGCAGAGAGAGAGAGATAAAAGATGCAGAGGGGGCAACAATGGGGAGGATCTGTGGTTTAGGTTATGCAGAATTCAAAAATCAATTAAGAATTAATTAATTTGCGGTAGCAAACAGGATATAGAACTGTGATTTGGATTTGAATTTAGAAAGAAAGTACAATGGAATTGTGAGCAAGCTCTTAAACGGCTCATGAAATGCATTTTCAGATCTTTATACTATATGTTTCTGGGGTAAACTCAAGTTTTTTGCATAAAAAAAGTAAACTTAATCATGTTCCATCCTCACTTTGACTCTCTCATCACAAGCACTTTAAGGGGTCATATGATGCAATTTCAATTTTTCCTTTCTCTTTGGAGTGTTACAAGCTCTTGGTGCATAAAGAAGATCTGTAAAGTTGCAAAGACTAAATTTTCAAATCAAAAGAGATATTCTTTATAAAAGTTAAGAGTCAACCACGCCTACCTAAAACGGCTCATTCTAACACGCCCCCACATATCTACATCACGATGTGGGAAGATTTACATAACCGTTATGAAAGCGAAACTACTTTGTTTGGCCTTCCAAAAGACAACAATATCCGCTTCATCATGCCTAGAGCTGATCCGTGCTGGCCGCTGAGGAAATACAACAACTTCACGCTGTGGATCGCCGGATCGGCTTTCACTGTGGACGAAGTCCAGCCTGGGGTCGTCACATGTGGTTGCCGCAAGCCGCCGGCCGTTCCTTCGTCGAATCCGCCATCAGCGCCGTTCTCTAGCCCGCCGGCCCCCGCTCACTCTAGCCAGCTGGCCGCCGCTCACTCAAGCCCGCCGTGTGTGACGCTGTGTGTTTCATTGTGAAAGCGAAACTACTTTGTTTGACCTTCCAAAAATGGACACGATTGGAAATCAGTGGTTAAGTTGTATTTACAACACTGTTCCAGAACACTCAATCAC